CCAACTCTGTACACGTACAGCTGTAGGTAACACACACACACACACACACAAGCCCATTCAGCTATCTTAGTGAGGACCTTCATTGACATAATGGTTTCCCTAGACCCTTACCCTAACCATTAAAAATGAATGCCTTACCCTAAACCTAACCATAACTTAATTGTAACCCTGACACTAAAACCACATTTGAGCCTCAAAAAGGCCTTCAAATTTGTGAGGACCGGTGTGTGCGTCCTCACAAGTGCCTGTTGGTTCTCACAGGTATAGTAGAATGCAGATTTCAGTCCTCACAAATATAGCTAGACAGGAACGAACACACACAAAAAACCTACTCTAGCATCAGCACACCCAGCAAACCCACATTTCAGTGTGGAAATTCTCTCTTCTTACAAAGCATCCACACACAAACCAGCTGTGGCCGTGCCTAAAGTCCTCTATACATAATGTTGCCTCTCTCGTTCTGTCTCTCCCACTCTTTCTCACACACACACACACACACACACACACACACACACACACACACCCCCTTTGGGTTCTGTGTGAGTAGTCTTTAAACATTTAAGAGAGGGATCCTGCACCAATCTATCTCTCTCCTCCCTCCACTGCTCACTGCCAAAAGCCAATACCACGCACAATCTCCTTCAGCATATTAAACACTGCCACTGCTGATGCTGTACACAGACGTGAAAGTGTGTGTGTATGTGTATATGTGAAGTTATTCACTCTCCGGCTTCCATTTATCCCAAGCTGTTTACTGTTGCTGTTGTTTGTCTGCAGGCCATTTTGTAATGGACTGTTCCTTGGAATATTTACATGACAATATAGACCTCAAGTCTCCAACTGCCTGGGATTTGGTCCGCTGTCAGTTCATTTGAGGTATCAGTTTACAGGTCTCAAAGCGTGAGAATATTCAGAATTTCAACATTTTTTTGAAAGAAGGGAACTTATGAAGCCTGCTCTGTGTTCATAGTTTGATTAAGAAATTGCTGAAAAAAGCACCAACTCTACTTACTGGAGGCTTGATCTTTTGACAGCACTAATGTCCAAAGTTCATTCTATAAGTCAGCATAGCCAGATGACTTTCTGTGTTGCAGTTTGTAACGTATCATTTATTGTCTCTCGAATTTACTTTAACAAAAAATGTCCCAGACTGAAGAATTTGCTGTCCTTACTATCATCACACATCTTGCGGACATTTTTAACGATTAGAAGTTGTTTTTGGGACAAAATGCTGTTGAATAGATTTCCAATAATTAAAATAAGTCATGTTTTATTTTGGCCGCAAACTACAAAAAAGATTTTAAAATGACTTTCTGAAAAGGGACAATAAGTGGATTAGATGACACTGATTGGCATTGGTGGGTCAAATGTTGACCATATTACCTGAGTACTCTTGCAGCTTCGCCATGTTGGGACCACATTTGTCATGATTCCTGTTCAGCTGTGCAGCAGGTTACACTTCTGATTAAAGAGGATGAACACCAGATGTGACTCTTTTGGCGTGCTGGAGGCTTCTAATCAAATTACTTTGCTGTTGATCAATTGATTGCGAAATGCTATTTGCAGCACTTTTAATCAGTGAGCAACACTTTAAATAGAAGTGAATGGGTTGACGTAGGATTGAGCTGATCTTGAGGAAGCACTTTCACATATTACATTATGTCGGGCGCAGCCTGAAAACATTAAACAATCTACTCCTTGGCACAGCTTCTGTTTACCTGGTACACTGGGATCCATTTCAAACATCCCAAGTGGCCTTCTGGCTTAGGAGAAAGTTCCATTAAATGCTAAAAGGGCCTAGTACAAAAAGTTCAGCTGGCATTAATCCTGCACACTTCCTCATCTACTCACTGAAGTTTTTTTGACCTCACACTCTTTGCTTTTATCTGCACACAGCCACACTCCTCCACTGTAACTCTAGTACTGCAGATAAGATGCAATGAAATTTTAATGATCCCCTTGGGGAAAGCAAGTCATTGCTTGAGCAAATACAGTACTAACAGGGCAGAGTGTGTAAATAGAGCGAAATAGCATCATGGAAACATATAAAACCAACATTTCATGGAATATTAAAGTTGAAAAGCAAAGTAGAAAGAATAATGATACTAATAGAGAATAATGAAAACCTTTTATATTTTACTATTAAATACATTTTTTTATCCTGCATCATAACTTCAATTCAGTTTTATTTATATAGTGCCATAACACAACAATGGTTACCTCAAGGTGCTAACAATAAATGATACAGAGAGAAAATGTCCAACCAGTTTGTACCCATTATCTATCATTTATGGAAGCTTGTTTCCACAACTGACAACGTTTTGGGATGTTATCTTAAGATTTTTCATCTGAGCATCTCAAAATTTTGACTTAAACTCAAATGTGCAAGAAAAAAACTTAAGTTTGAAAATCAGCTATTGAATCAACTTTCAGTAATTAAGAAATCCGTGTTCTAGACTACAAACTTCAGCATGGGAGCCGTGTCTGATAAAATCCTCTCCTTATAGATCTGCACGTGTACCGTATGTGTGCCAGTACCAAACCATTGCCTTGAACCTTTCCTGACAGCTCTGTAGTCAAGTTAATAAAGAATTTTCCATCTACAGTCTAATCTGTTCCCTCCTGTTGTTTTCATCAGATACTACTTAGTTCTTATGATACAAGCAGGTTTTTACCACTTCCATTTTTAAGCATCTCATGCCCCCCCCCTCCTATATTTCCCAAAGTGATAATATCCCACTTAGCCGAACATTTGAGTAGTTGAATGAATCCGGTGTGAATGCAGGTATTATTGTTTGATAATTGTCAACAGTGGTGCGTTCCCCAAACTGAGTGTCATATTCTATTTTGAGTAAGATGCCAGCAGAGCTGGTTTCTACTAACAATGCTCCACCTGTTTTGTTTTGTTTTCTGCAGACCCACACCATCTTCTCCCTGCTTGGCCTCGACCACGCCTACGTCACCAGCATTGGACGCCTTATCGGGGTGGTTTCCCTTAAAGAAGTAAGCGTCTCTTCAAGTTTCCCTTTGGGCCGTATGTTCATGCTGTGCAGCTTTAATTGCTTTATTAGCTTGATGACAATAACAATAATAATAATAATAATAATAATAATAATAATAATAATAATGATAATAATGATAGTAATAATAATACATTTTATTTATAGAAACCTTTAAAGACCTCCAGGGTCACCTTACATTAATATAGCAAAATAAAACATTCACACAAATAAAGTAAACAAATAAAATGAAACTATAAAACTAATCAGGTAACAAAAGACCAAGTTATAGTGACAGCATGAGTTCTGAACAGATGGGTTTTCAGACCTGATTTAAAAGTAGAAAGAGAATTTGTAGTGTGGAGATCTGGTGGAAGTAGATTCCAAAGTCTTGGCGCAGGACAGCTAAAAGCTCTGAGACCCGTGGCAGTCAGGCGAGCACATGGAACAGACAGAGGTGAGTATGTATGGAGAATAGGGCTGCCACAAACGATTATTTTGATAGTCGACTAGTCACCGATTATTTTTGCGATTAGTCGACTAATCAGATCATCATCCACTGGACGTAAAACTACAGCTTATTGCACCAGCAGCATCTGCTCTTATATAACTATCATTAGCTTACAGCTTTAAGTGTTTACGGTATGTGCTAACTAAAAATAAAGACAAGATGATAGTTTATTAAATTTTAATGAAATTTCCAGATTGTTTCGGTGAAGTAAACTCCTTGCAGGATGACACCTGGGCTCTTAACCTGAGGGGAAGGTGTGACAACAGAGTTATCAATAGATGAAAAACCCTTGGATTTAATTTCATGGTTTCATCCCTCCTGAACTTAAAATACATTAGAATCCATTTTTTCTGTTCATTTCTTTGACACCCAGCGTCATGTGAAAAGTCATGACTGTCGTCATTTCCACAGACGGTTTGTTCACCGCTTTAAATAACTGTAAAGGCACTGTCAATATCATCAGGAGTGCTGTCACCGTGCTGTACACACACAAATGATGACATTCAGTCATCATTAATGATTCCTCCTCCTGCTGTCTGTTATGTACTGTGACAGACTAAAGGCTGCTTAATATTGCTGTCTCTATCTATTGTCATTCTGTCTGTTCTCTGCCGCCTCTCCTGCTCCCTCTCTTTCCATCTCTCCTGCCTCATAAACAACTGAAAACGCTTCACTCTTTGTGAATTGGCCAGGAAGTGGAGAGAGGATTGTTGCTAAGTGCAGTGCTGCTTGCCTGTCCCTGACATTTAGGATTTTTTGTTCTGTGTACCAGCCTTCCCATTCTGCCTGTCTGTCACACAAACACATGGTTACATCACAGCGTCTCTGCTACATATGAACGACAACTATTTCAGGGACGTCAGTGCGTTTCATAGTTTTATTTCAGATCCAGAACACACGTACAGGACTCTTTTCAATGCTGCCACGTGACCTGTAGCACCCAAATCTTTCCCCCTATAAGCCAAATGACAAACTTGGTCTGGCCAAACAGAAAATGTAATAATACACAGCAGAGAGATTCAATAGAGAATCATAACAAACTTTCACACGCCTGCAGATTGAAATATGAACCCAATACGATCAGATTATTTTTAAAAAACATGTTAATGTTTTCTTTTTTCAGTACATTTCAGTGTACACTTTTACTCTCTGGACCAAAACAGTTCATCTTGTGCATTTCCATTAAGACAGAGAAAATGTTAGTTAGCAAGAAAGCAAGTCAAAGCAGTTAGCATAAAGATTAAAAGCTTAAAAGCTAAGTCCTACATCCATAATTTTGTTAATAACACCAATAATAAATAATAGAGGATGTTAAACACTATGATTCCTATATAACAGGAAACCTGTTTTTTTTTTGTTTTTTTTTTAAACCTACTACTGATAACCTTTTAGGTACTGGTTGAGTTTATTCACAGTTATTCTGTACAGTGTGAAGCATAGAGCAGGATTTAGAATATTAATGAACTTCAGATACACAAGCTCAAAACTTTGGCATATAAATAAATTTAAAAGGATATTGTAATGTACGTTTTCAATTAAATTAATATGTGCAAAATAGCTGTCTGTTGTTGCAAACAACAACATGAAATATTAAAAATATAAATGTAAAATACATATATGTATGTATGTATGTATGTATGTATGTATGTATGTGTATATATATACATATGAATATTATAAGTTGTTATAAGTTGTAGAGCCATTTCTTTCTCTGCCTTATCCAACTTTTTGTTAGTGCCATTTTGTTTGACCAGATAAAGACCTCTCAGGTAATACCTAAAATAGTCTCTGACAATCATTGGTTTTATGTAATACAATGTTTTCCTGAAGATTTGTGACTGCAGAAGCATTTTTGTCAATTACTGCTGTGTATGTGGCAAGTATTATAATCAGGGGTGCACATAAGTGGTCCGCAGGTGCGCATGCGCTGTCAAAATAAAAAATGTGCACCAGATAAGAAGTTGCAACGCGCGTTTACGTACATAAGATTTTCTGGAGGAGGACAGACATTTGTTTAGAACTCTTAAAGATGTCGAAGAAGCTCCTTTAAGCAATTACTGTGGTTTTCCTCCACCTCCAAAGAAATGTCAGAAGGAGTCCGAACCACAAAAGAAGCACGTATTCTCGGAAAAGTGTTTGCAGGAGGTGAGCTGGCTTCAAACAAATGATGAACGCACAGATGTGGTGCAGAATGTGCCGTGAAAATCCCACTCTAGCGGACAAAAACAGTGCCTTTCCCTTTATTACACTTTGGAAACGAGATTTCAGTCCAAAATAGGAAACAACCCGAGTACCTTTCCATCAGAAGTACTGATATAATCTTGCAGTGTAGAGCAAGACCACTGTGGTCAAAATTTAAAGCTATATTCAGCACAGTCTAATGATAACAGTGGGAGGAAGGGGGGACCTAAACACCAAACCCAAAGAGTGTATCTTTAATGTACACTATTCTCCCACAAAGTAATCCTTGAAAGAAATTGATATATTTTTTAAAGGATTTTAAAGGTTTCCAAATCTTTTTTTTGTTTTTTGTTTTTAAAAAGAGAGAATTTAAACCCAAGTTATATATTTTGCTTTTATTGAGGATGTTTAATTAGCATAGAAAAGTTAAAATATATTGATATAAAATTATTATTAAAAAGTGTGTTTTTCAGTGTATTACTGTACTGGTACAGTAGAAAGCAACACATTATATAAAGTTCTTGTAATGAGGGTGATGGTGTATGAATTTTGATGTATGATACAATTCCTTAATGCTACAATCATATAAAATTCTGCACGCTTCTTTTGACATATTTCTTACTGTTACAATTTAGAAATTGTTTGTGTACTACTGAGTTGGACATTCCCCTTTTTTTGTTTGTTTGTTTTTTGAAAATTGATTTTCCCTCAACTCAGCTGCCAGAGGTTTCTTTCTCCCCACTGTTGCCACTTTTGGTATGGCTCTCTAATGTTTAAGGATCTTTACTTTATGATATACTAAAGTCTCCTTACAGGACTATAGTGATGACCTGCTGATAAATAATAAAATTGCTGTTGAATTGAGTATAGTAGTGCTGTCCAGATTGTTGAAACTGGGAGCCTTAAATTGCGCTGTGAAGTTCTGGTCACACACACTTCCTGCTTCCATTCTAACTACCTTATCTTTCTTCAACCAGCTCCGTAAAGCAATTGAGGGCTCAGTGACTGTGAAAGGTGTAAAGGTGCGCCCCCCTCTGGCCAGTTTCCGGGACAGCGGCACAAGCAGCAGCGAGAACGAAACCACCGAGCTCCACAAGCTGTGGGACCGCCACAAGAGCATGTCGCTGCCACGCGAAAGCACCCCCTCCGAGTCCGAAGAGAAGTCCCAGTAAGGGAAAAGGTGATGAGGAAGAAGAGGAGGAGGAGGAAGATGAAGCATTGAGGTCTTTAATCACTCAAAGCTACAAACATGCAAAAATCCTCAGGGCTCAGGATCAACAGGCCAGCTTCCTCTTCATCTCTCGCCTCATCTGCTCCTCTCCCTCCTTCTCCGCTAACTTCCGTTCTTCCCGGACCACCCAGTGCTTTCTCCAGGAGCCTTGCACTGACCCAGAGAGACACTCCACCAGAGGAGTGGAACAAAACCTGTGCCCTGCTCTCCATTTACCCTTGGGAACCCACAGCAGAGCCAGTGTGGATTAGGGTTACCGAGACTGGGTTAAAATGAAAAGGGATTCTTTCTTTTTTTTCTCTCTCTCTTTTTTTTAGCAGACATTGTTTAGCTTGTGTGTCTTTTGATTTGGGATCAAAGTTTCAACCTGCAGATGTAATCCTTTGAATGAGTCTTCCACTTAAGGTAGAGAAATTCAGCAGTGGTGACAAGGAAGACTACTGTAATGTGTGCATGTGTCTTTTGAAAGCGTGTGTGAGTGAAATGAGACAATGGGTGTGCGCATGAAGAGGGAGGTAGCAAAACGACTATATCCTACAGGATTTTTCTTTTTAATTATTACGTCTCAAGAACACATGTTAGACTTTGTTTTCCTCATTTATCTGAATGATCAGGTGGTCTGGGTTTGACTGGAATTGGCCATTTCTTTATAAATTACACTGCAGTTTGTCCAGTAGTGGACTCATAAGGGGAGAGATGCCTTAGCTTTTCTGTGTTTTCTTATTTCCATTGCCCCTCTTTACCTCTTCACTTCGAGTCTTAATGGTCAGGTTGAGAGCAGAGCCTATGCAAGCAGACTTGCCTGTTGGCAGTGACTGAGGCACCTGTAGCCCTTTTCATAACGTCCTTTCATGCTGTAGCCGCAGCCTTCACACGCACATAGAAACACACACCAACATTTTAACGGCGATGCACTCGGCGAGTCAAGGTTTTCTGCTTATCTAAATATAGCTTTTAATAAGTGTTCTAGAGAGGGTTGGGGCGGATGGAGAGGGCAGGAAGCAAGTGAGGGAGGGAGGAAGAGCATGGAGCAAATGGATGGCTGAAAGAATGAAGCCGTCATTACCTAACCAGCTGCTCTGTGCTCTCTCATCAATCTGCCTTTGAGTGCCATGTAAGTTTGTATCAGAGACATAACCCCAACAGATAAATGGCGGGGTGGTTCACAGGGTGAGGCGCACAGTGCAAGAGTGCCCAATGATGACGTGCGGGCATGTGGGAACCATGACCAACATTAGTAGTAACATTATTTATTAGAAAGCATTAAAGAAAATCTATAAGTGACCAGCAGAGAGCATTCACAGATTTAGTTTAATCATTCATTCCAGTTAATTTACCAGTCCCATCACCAACTTCATCACCACTGGAGAAACTTCCGAGTACTCGTCAGCTTACCTGATTCAAATTTGGCTGATCTCAACTTCAAGGTTATCTTCTCGGGCACCACTGGACCGTTTTCAGTTCATATAGATTACCATGCCCAAGAAGATGGTTCATTGACTTGAGACCTGCCGAACTTTAAAACGAGTTAGTTTGATCACACCTTGTGTTAAACCAGAAACCTGATGCGTCAATGTTTTAACTGCAGCGGGGTTTCTGTCATGACAGATAACGATAAATTACTTTGAGTTTAATAATTCATGTCTGCCATAATGCTCCAGGCTCGGCTGCTCATCAACAGTAAAACACTGATCTGGTTTGCGTAGCGTCTAACCATCTTTTCCCTATATTTGTTACTTATTTTTGACTACTGACAAACACATCTTTTAAAGACACGCTCCTTTTTTTTTTTTTTTTACTGACACTACTTCCTGCAGAATTGGCCCTGAATGCCTTAAAAATGCACTCACACACAGATACACACATATCCCTCCAAGTTCACTTCTGTGTGCGATGTGTTGCATGGATTTTAGTTTATCGGGTCGTGTCTTGTCTTGCTGCACCCAACCCCCCCCCCATAAATTGAAAACGCACACAGTGACATAGCAGCATGCCTTTGCATGAGAGAGAGTGCATGTGGGGGGGAGTTTTCTATGAACATAACGTACCAAAAAAACCCCAAAAAAAGTCAAAAGCTTGACAGGAATGAATATGGATGGAGTGAATGAGGTTTGTCATCATGTGCCTGTGATTTTTGTTCTCTTCGATGGCATCTTCCACTCATCCAGCGAGCTTTATTCAGCCCCTGATTTTAACCCGGGATGGGGGGGGATTTTTGGGTTAGCACATTTCTACTTAAAGATTAATATATTTAATTTCATTCCTGTAATATAAAATCATTATTGAATGTCTTAACCAGTCATGACTTGTTGGAAGGAAATTTGGGGCTTGTTTTATATTTGTCGCATTATGTTGATTTTTAAAGTTAAAGTTTCTTTTTGTTTTTTTCCTTTTTTCTAATGCAAATTTTAACGTGATGTTGGATATATTTGTATTATTATAGACTTTTTTGTCCTTTTTTTGTAAAATGCAAATAACACTAACTGGGGGACTCCCGATGGCGGGAAAAATGGAAGAAATGTAATCACGAAGCCATGAGACGTTAATGTGGAAGCGACCAGCATGCGGTCCACTGTTGACATGTTCATTTCACAAGTGCCTCCTCTTCTTTAACAGCGGGAATAAGCAATCGATACTTGGGGTGTGTGTGTGTGCGTGTACACAACCAGAGAACCTGCTCTGTACACACAAACAGACACGCAAATACAGTATGGGAGTGGGGTGGGTGAGGTTTCAGAGCATGCGAGTGCACTTATCTCCATGGAACCTGCCCCAACACCCCCATTACAGCTCACCCGAGTGGGGGGGACAAGTGACCGACATCCACTGATTTGGTTCTTTTCATTTGTTTGTGCTTTTCATCGATTTTCATTATTCCAGCTCCTGCCGCAGCCTTCCTTGTTTCCGCCGACATTTTCACTGCGTTTCATCTCATTTTGCTAGCAAGCGGACCCAGGCCCAGCTACATGCATATTTATTAGCCAGTGCTAATCAGAGTACAAGTAGTACTTTTCTTTTTTCTCCCCTCCTCATTTTGTGTTTTGTTTTTTTTATGGTTGATCTATTTGTGGTTAATCAATTTGTGCAATAACAGTGGTTCATCTCATTTTGTAACCCAGTTTGAATCAATGGCGTGAATGCGGTATAACCTTATTTTTGTAAAGAAACCTGAAAAGTGTAAAAACATGTATGTGTAGGCAGAGAAGCTACTCTCACACGGGAGCTACTGTGTGATGAAGCGACGATGGAATTAGGGGGTTGTAACAATCCTGAAACCGACACAAAAATCCAGAATCTTCCATGTTCATGTACCATGATGCCACTGTGGAGCGGTTAACTTTTTAACATGCACTGAGTCACCGGGGACTTATCTATGTTTGGGTTTGGTTTCGTTTTAGCCACATGCTAAAAAAAGTAAAAGTTAAAAAGTTCCATTTCAAATGAGGCATTGAGGAATTGCCACTACAGTGTTTTCTAAAAAAACGTTTGCATTTGGGTGTTTCAAACAGGCAATAAGCTTTAAAAGAGGTGGATGTTAACCTAACCCTACATGATTCACCAGTGACCTGTGGATGTTGATGCCTGGTTAAAGGTGACTGCTGTAACATTAGGCATGAGAATAATGGACTTTTTGCTTTGGAGAACAAATAATGGTTTAAAGCAAAGGTTTCCCAGAAGCTGCCATGAAAGCTCACTAGAATCTGTGTTGAAATATTAAACTGTTCACACCTTTAGGTCTTAAAAGGAAAATGGGTTTTACACCTTATTTGGTTTTTGGGAAACCTTTACCTTAAACATTAGCTGCCACTGACATACAAGCGCCTACCCCAGATTTTCCCTGATAAAACAGGCTCCTGGGAAAGTTTTATTATAAGCCCCTCTGTCCTCTCCTTCAGTCTGAGAGGCTTTGATAAGACCCCAATCCCCCATCAGCTGATGAGGGTAATCTTTTATCCACTCCTAAGGGACTGTAAATACTGGAGGCCTCCACTACGGCAAACCCCCGAGGGCCAAACCAGACCGAGCTGAACAAGATCCAGAGCTATTTTTCACACCGAAAAAAAAGAAACATTGTTTTTGTATATCAGTGATGAATAAATGAGATTTTAACAAACATGGCGATTTGTTGCAGACTTCTTTCTTTTTTCTGTCTTCTTTAATTTCTGCAGCTGCACTTCTTTGCTGTCTGCTCTCTTTCCTCCCTTCAGGAGCAGCTGGAAGGCACCTGGAGTGTTGTTTTTGTCTTTGACTAATACTCCCAGTGGGGAGGCATACACACAGCAATGCCACTACGGTGTTCAATATGGTTCAGTCTGTCCCAAATCTTTTTAAAGCTCTGAGAGTTACAGGCTTCACGCTGCTTTGTCCAAACCCCTTTTGGTCAGCGGAGAGGTCTTCTAAGAACACTCACCTCCTGTCCTATGCACGCTTCTGTTCTAAAATCCAAACAATCACAGTCTACTTCATATTAATAGCCTCTCGTGGAGGAAAGAAACTTTTTATAATCCATATTAACATATTTTTGTTTGTCTCTACTAGCAACTTCAACACAAGAGCCAGAGTGAACTGAAGCTCTAGTACTTATAGCATTATAGAAAAACAGATTTCATTAACAGTATTAATGTAATCTGACAGCATCTGGTTTAAACAGAAAAACATGGAAAATTGTTTTCTCTGTGGTAGGGTCACAACAGGTCACTCTAAGGAGGGATTGGCATAAAAATCCAATTACTGCACATGAAAGACAGACATAGTTTTCAGGGTCTGACAACGATCCTTAAACCTGAATTGTTTCTGATGGTCAGCAGGGGGTAAATCTTGTGGCTTCAAAGAGAAAATCTATGGGGAAAAAACAACCTTTCATCTTACTTGATCTTTAGTAACGCTTTTCTGATGACTTTAGCGTTCTCTATTATTGAACAAAGAATTTTGATTCATAAATTATGATCATTAGTGTTAAGAAGGCCATTAAATCAGGTTTTTCTTTAAGGGCAACTGGTTTCAAAGAGCTGAGATGTCAGTGTAGAATGCTCAGATCAAAACTCCCAAAATGAGGCTTTGCAGTAACCACAGTGGCGCTGTGACTGTCCATCTTTTATATACAGTCTGTGGTTATGGCTCCGAGACTTCCTGTCTTTGAAGTTTAGTAACCAAAAAAGGAGAGAGGTCGTCCACCAATGGAAGGCACAGAACAAAGTCTCAGGTGGTGATGTCCATCTTTTATATACAGTCTGTGTCCTTTGACCATTGCTGCATTCACTCACGGATGGACACGAGATGGGCACAAAGATTAAGAAGGATTGTGTGCCTGGTAGACATTTATAAGAGCAGATCTGTCCGTTGCAGCGTTTTAACTACGCTGCATTTCCATTTCCACTGTTTTAGATAAGGGACGTGAAAAGGCTCCCTCAAAAGAAATGCCAATGATCTGGTCTTCCTTCTCAACACCGCTGCTGTAGAACTGTAAACACGACATATCCAATGACATTAAAGTGGGTCAAGTGAGTCTGTTCCAGCACCGCAGCTCTAAACTGAACTAACAGCCTTCTGACTCTGCTCTTCCAGCGGGAGTCTTTGTTGCAACAGTTGGCACCATAATGAACAGACAGTACGCACTTTTGTGCTTTCCTGCCCTCTCCTTCTGCTGCTTCCACATTCACAATTTGAAAACATACACACACACACACACACACACACACACACACACACACACATCGTTTCTTTCTTCATTGTGTTGTTTTGGTGTGAAAGAGAGGGGAGCATCTGGACTGTAATGGGTGGGGAGTTCTGTGCTAAAAGCTTAATGAGCTAAACGAGTTCATCGGTTAGGTAGGCTGCAGCTCTGTTCCTCACTGAGTTTAAAGTCTGACACTCAGAACTTCTCCAGGGAGACTTGGGCTTGTTTACATGCGTGCATGTTTATGGAGATCATTTCATGCATTTTTTTTAACCCCAAATAATCTGAAATGCATTGACTGCAGCTGTAACAGAGAGACAGAGTTGAAAGAATAAAGTAAACTACCCAATGTTTCCTTTCATGATGAAACACCAGCGAATGGGGTAAAAAGCACTTGGGCAAAGTGCCATACATTCATGCTGACAAGGCAGATGTTCAAAAAAAGTCTTCTTGTAAGTTTTTATAGTGTGGGAACTTCCAAACTTTTTAAAACTGACTGATATCATTGATGGTATGACATGCAGTCATCCATGCTATGTTTTTTGTGGATCATCACTATCAATATCATCCAAAGCACAGTGGAAGCATTTACTGCTTCCACTGTACTAAAAGTGAATGTAACGAGTGTTGGCAAGCATGCTTAAATGAGCACGAACAAGTTGATATGTTGTTTTTAAAATTCAATGTAAATTAAGTGTTTTGTTCTCCTGCCCTTTGTTTGACTTCAAAACAGATTCTACAACAGACCAACTATTAAAGTAGACCTGCTGGTGATGGTTAGGTTTGTGGGTCAGGGATCTATGTAACCTCAAAGTTTTCTAAGACGTGTGTGTGCAGATTGCAGGTAGAGAATCTGAGCGAGACTGTGAGGTTGTTCTGAGAGCTGACGCTGCTTACAGTCAAGAAGGGAGACGCAGTGAGCACCACTCTGCACCATCTGTTTGCTCTCTGATCAGTGACAGACAAACCAACAACCATTAGACATTTTTGCACAAACACATATTTATTCCACGTCTAAGAAAAGACCCGATTTTGATACAAATTGGACAACAAAGATCTGCTTTAGTTAAACAGAATACGTTTAATTTACTCAATTAACATGGAAACACAGATTAGTTGAATCGTCTAAAAACAAGGATTCCTGAAATCAACCATGAAGGTTTTGAACAGTTTACAACATTTTTAGAACAAACACCTTCAAACCAGTTTGAAACTTTACATCAGCAAATAATAATTCAATAAATCTGTCATATTTTACTGCAAAAAATTGTTCCAGAGAAATAAATTTCCAGAGTAAAACCAGCAGGTTTAGCAGAATAGCAGCACAGTCCCCCGTCTTCGTTTTGACAGGATACAGAGGGCCTCAGCATTGAGCTGGAGGTCACATGTGTTTTGGAAGCATTATGAGATCAGTACACGCCTCAGTGATGCCTATGAAACTGAGTTGAAGTGTAAAAATACAAAAGGTGCACAGCTGGACTGATCAAAGAGAGGAGCTGAGTGCTCTGTCAGACTCATGTGAGCCAGATGATGGTGCAGGTCTGAAAGTACTGTCTCATCATCCTCCACTGCTATTAGCAGCGTGTCTATTCACTGCGCTTCAGCAAAACAACACAAAGATGAGCTTTACATTTTATATCATCCAGTTTTGCTTTGTTTTTTTTTCTGGTTTTTGTGATTAAAAACAACACTGGGAAAACAAGAGTTGCTTTATTTGACTAATTACCACACGCCTGATAACAATGGGCTTCCCTGGGCTTTTAGTTCCTGCAGCACCTGAACGTTCCTGAAGGGTTTGGAGACTTTTGTTTGGAAAGTAATGTAAGAAAACATGATGTCAACATGAACTTAATAATCTGCCTGATACATTTTTGGGATTGTTAATCCATTGTGGAGTGTTTAGCCTGATCATCCTGGTAGAGGGGTTGAGACAGTGAGAGATTTACTGGAAGCAAATGATGTGATTGCAAGCGAAAAGAGGAAGTGGTGGTGCCACGTTGTGCTTATACTATAAATAATGATTAATTAGTTACTCATTTATATAAATATTCAGTGCACATGGCCACACAATTTGCATAAGATATAAACAACACTATAAAGTTATAAAAGATCATTTAAAACTATGGGAGAAACCACGAGACACACTATGTGCGCACAGGTCAGAGGTCAGCCCCAGTGTTGTAGACTGGGATACCCAGGTGCTCGTTCCCAGTGAGTGCTGATTTCCGGCGAACTCTCACCACCAGGGTACCATCAGGGTTAAGGGTCCCACTGACTGACAGGGGGTCCATATCCTCAGGGAACAGGGACTTATGGGTGAACGTGTCACTGATGCTGCCATCATCCAAAACCTGAAGGATGGAGATGAAAAGTCAAACAAGGGATTGACCAGCTGGGAATGAAAAGGAAGAAAGGGCACAGAAAAGTGAGAAGAGCAACAAGGCCAGGGAAGGTGCTGGGGTGCAAAAAGAAGGTGAGAAGCAGTGAAAGAGATGGAGGCAAGGAGTGCTGCACTGCTCAGCTGGTGAAGAACAAGCGGGGGGAAAGAGAGGCAGAGGAAAATGAGCACTGACTGCTGCTCTCTGAAGATGCTTTTTCACTGTTATAGGGCTTCGAGGCAGGTTGAACGCTTGTGGATTTTTGCCAATTTGCCTTCTTAACCCTGTTAAAATGATTTTCCTGGACTGCAGCGAAGGCTCTTCCCACTTCTCCTTCTGCTCTCTCACCTTTTAAAAATGATTAACATCAAACTGTGAGGGGAGGCGGAGAGCGAGAAAGCCGCACAGGCACCAAGCTCCAGCTTGTCTGCTGCTCAACAGACCACGTCCGAGTCTGATGTGATGGATATGACAGCGGCCCAGATAATTTTACTATAACACGGTCAGTCATTTTTGATTTACGAGAAGATGCTGTCTTCTCATAAACATTATTATTATTATTTTCAAAATCTTTTTTCTGGCTTAAGAAATTATTTTATGTCTGCTTATGATCCCTCGTGTGATTTAATGTAGCACTGATGGTGAGACACAGATGGAACGGCCAAGCTTTGTTGGTCTAGGTGCATCTCTGCACTCCCACAGTCAGACAACAAAGTATTAACTCCCCACTTTTACAGCCTATACCACCAAGAGAGCACCAAATCAAGATTAACATCTTTTACGTGTTACATATGTGATTTTTTTTCTATTGTGCCTTTAACCATAATACCTTTATAAATGAGATGATACCTTGCTCAGGGGAACCTCATAGTAGCCGTTCGGTGGATTCAATCCCCTGACCTTCCGATTATTGGGCGACCACTCTATTTACTTAACCAACCCTGTCATCCCTGCCACGTTTGACTATCATCAGCTCATCTTTTTTGAGAGTGTGCTACATGTTCCACCTTATACAGCCATGGAAACATAACTACAGGGAATACTTCCACTAGAAGGAATAATCCCTGTCAAATCCTCAAGACCAAACAGCTGCCTTTCACCATTTATTCACCTATACTTGTTCAATGGAAGCAACAACACAAAGTTTAGAATTTCTTCCTGAGACCAGGTTCTCTGAGTTCAGTTGAAGTATCAACAGCTGAAATAGATGCCTGGAGTCCCCTGGTTAAAGTGCTATGCTGGCTCATTATTCTCATGGTAACCATCGAGCTGTTATACCTCTGGCAGGGAAATGTTAAGAAAATGTTTCTGTATAAGGAAGTGTGTATGATTTATTTATTTTTTGTCCCTAATCATAACCAATTAGTGCCTAAACCTATCTGCATAATATAAAGTCTGACTTAATGCATAAATCTAACCAAACAGTGTCATTAAAGGTAAAGTGCAAGCAAAATGGTCCCAGCAGAACTTATTCTTGTCTTATGGTTGAAAGTCATATGATCTCTTCACCCTGTCTGACTCCTGACATTGACATTTGTAAATTATGATGAGGGCTTTCTGACTAAGTCAGAATGGAAGAATATGTTATTGTATTTGTTTTCAGAAACTCACGATAATCCCAAATTATTGGAGTCACTCATGGAAATTAGAAAGCATTCATAATAGTTAAAAAAATTCAAAATATTAATCAGTGATTCAAATGGCAGATGTCATACTTTGTGATCAACAAACAAAACATTGGACATGACTAATGATAATTCATGGCAGCAGCTGATTTGTTTGCAGTGATTT